TACTATCTTATCATTATTATTATATGCAAATTTATAGTTCTTTATTTTGTATATTTTCATGATGATATAACTAGCACCTACATTGGAGCTGATACATATAAAAATTACTTATCACAACCCTCAATGCATCATGTGCATTCCTTAATCCCCAATTTGTCCAATCTTTGAGCAGCATCAACTCTACTACTTCACTAATAAAAAGGCATTGTCTATCAAGGCATTGTACAAGTATTGCTTAGTAGAGCAATTAATTTGAGGCTGCAGTCTTGGAGAATAAAGTATCAGCATTGTTTATTTATATGTTACCTTTGCCAAACATAATAGACAATGTAGAAAGTAGTGGTAGTTCAAGCCACAGGTGAAACAGTGAACTCTTACATACTAAGCTGGACATACCTGAATCTCTAAACCCAAGACTCCTCCAGCATCAATCCACATCAATATTGAATTGAAGATTTCAAAGATTAGTTACATACTTCAAAGCTGTGGCAACTCTAAGTACCAAAACTATGGATTCATGAAAGCATTTTGGTGCAAACAAATGATAATACTCACTCAAAGCTGTGGCAGAAATCCTGAAGGATCTACCTCTTCCCAACAGACAACCATACATGAATCTACCAATATAGGGAGCCATGTCAACAGGGAGCCAAGAGAACCATTACCATTGACAAGAATATTAAGAATATTCTGCACACTAAAGAATATTCTATTAAGTTAGTGGAAATATTTTTATTAAATAGGTATTTTAGTAAGTTTAATAGTATTTAGATCTGTGTGAACTACCAATATCTAATCTTATTGGCAAGAATAACACTACTATTAAGTAAACCAAGTGTTGTTATATGCAACATAAAACAATTTATTATTCATTTAGATAAATTTTGTATTTCTAATTTATAAACTTTCTTAAACACTTCTTAGTATATTCTAGTTTATTCTACCATCTAATTATTGATATTTAATAAGATTAATCTTGTGTTTATAAATTATAAGCATGTTTATAATTATAAACTTCCATTAGATACATTGAATTAATAAATTCATTAAATTATATGTAATGTATAACAAATTATTTTTGGTTTGTTTAAGTAAAAACCTATAAGGGGACCGGGATATGTGAAACACAAATCCTTAAGCCCCAAAGTGGAGCTGAAACAATGCTATCTGATGCTGAAGTAGAAGCCAAACAAATGCAACACATTTGGACTAAAATGCTTTCACTTAAATAGTCAAGAATGGGAGTGGAACTCCTAACGAAGTGCTCAGGGAACGAACATGAAACAAGTTGTAAGTGAGTCTCTAGAAAAAGGACCTAAGACGGAGTTTAAAATAGGACTCAAGATGGACCCGAGATGGAGTTCGAGATGGAGTATAAAATAGGCCCAAGAAGGAGTCCGAGATGGACTTGAGATGGAGTCCAAGATGGATCTAAGATGGAGTCTAAGATGAACTTGAGAAAAAATCTAAAATGGACCTGAGATGTTGTCCAAAATGAAATCCAAGATACACCTAAGATGGAGTCCAAAATGTAGTCCGAGATGGAACTAAGATGAAGCCTGAGATGGAGTCCAAAATGGAACTGGGACTGAGGCCGAGACCAAGTCTAAGTCTGAGACCGAGTCTGAGTCCAAGTCCAAATACTAATATAGGTTACAATGAATATAGACTGATAAACAAGGGTAGCTTGGTGAAGTGTTCAAGAGTTGGCTATAATTCCCCCAGGAGATTGAATGGTTGATACTCTCAGTCCAAGCGTGGGTGGCACTATTTACTTGGATACTTGGCATGGCTCAATGAAACCTCATTCTAACCCCATGGCTAGAACAGTCAAAGGCAGAAGGTGCGGAGAGTACCCATGAGGCTCGCATAAGGCCTCAGTGTTCCAAAATGTTATCCTAAAGTCCCAAACTATGGAAAGGAAGAGGAGCAATCCTTTGGTGTAATGACCAAGGATACAGTCACATAGTCAGGAAGTCTTAGAGCATAGTGGGACTTAATAGTCAGGCCGATGGGCCTTAATCCAGTGGCAATGTTGGTAAACATGGCCATGGATAGAAAGAGACTTAGTACAGATGGTCTAATTTTAGAGAGATGAATCTATGATGTAGGTGGTGTTGGACCACTAGTGTGACAAAAGGTGAATGAGCACAACCTTAATGCAATGAGTTAATAAATTAGTGATACCTTTAAGTGTTGATTATGGGATTGAATATGTGGAGCACTTGGACCAAGTGGCAAAGATTAAGTAGCATAGGTGCCATTTTTGGGGCTAACAAGTCCCCAAGTTTAGAATAAAATTTATAAAAGTGGGGAGTAAAAGTCTTCCAAGTGGTTGGAAGTGTGGTTAAATGACTAAAGTAAAATGAAAAATTTAATCACTTACAATATACTATAAATAACTAAAGAGAACAACTTAAAAAATTATCTATATATTTCAAAAATAAAAAAAAAGGGATATGAATAAGAGTGCATCCCTTTTTTCAATCGGTTAAAGGCTTTTTTCACTCAATTAATGGTTTTGGGATACTTAAGATTAAATTTTTTTGGGGTTATATATCCTTGAGTTTGGGTTGAGTGACCTCCTGGGAAGTCCAAATTCATGAGTTAATTCATAATTTATAAACATGTTTATAAATTCTAAACTTTCTTAAACCCTTTTTAGTATATTTTTTTTCATTCTACCATCTAATGGTAATAAGATTAATCTTGTGTTTATAAATTACAAACATGCTTATAATTATAAACTTTATTTGATCAATTGGATAAATAAATAGGAATAACACTATTATTAAGCAAACCAAGCATTGTTACATACAACACATAGCAAATCATTATCATTTCTACAGAAAAAATAATACAAACTAAATTCTTAACAAGTTTTTGAAAATTGCTGACAAGTTATTACTAATACTAATAGTGAGTGTATCTTAACAGACAAAAACCTCTATAAAACTTGCAATCTTCAACATACCAGTTTTCATTTGAGTGTCAAACGAACCAGTGCTTTTGAGAACAATTCCTCTCCCAGGCCATCTAGCGAGCACCATGTGCGTCTTTGAGAACAAAGGCACCTTGAATCCGTTTCCTGAGAGAAAGATTTAATTCACGATTCTCAATAAGAGCACTGTGAAACCTGTCCATGGCAAGGCCCTTGACATCCTATGAAAGCAGTGGAGGCGCTCGACATCGTTTCCAAGGTTGAGAACCGATCCTTTGGAAAATAAAACGTGCACTAAAGCTCATGTCAGATGCGTGCAAACAATACCGTGCCACAAAAAAGTTTTCACTAATCTGCTGGTCCTTCTTTCTGAATCTTTCCTGAAGGATATAATATTAAGAAGGATATTATATTAGTGTCTCCCAAGCCAAACAAGACCTGGCTGAAAAGAACATGTCTGTCACAAACTTCATGTTCACGCTTCATGTTTGCCAAGACACCCGGAGATCCTTCTGAAAGCATAAACACCTGCAAAGAAATAAGAAAGATTCAATACTTCATTGTTTCCTTCTTTATTGCCCAAAAACTTGACGACCTATCGCTCGAGGAGATCCACCGCCCGACGTAGCACCATCTCGAAAAGAGCGCGAAGGGAGAGGCGGCCCGCCGCCGTAAGCCCGGAACACCACGTCATTAGTTTGCGTTAAGCAATGGGCTCAGAGCAAATATCCGACGCGATAATCCTTCACAAAGTTTTGTGAGCATTTCTCTAATTTTGAAGAGCAATACACTTATATGTAGAGCAGACCGTACTCCTCCTGCAACCAGAGAATTAGGGAACGATCTTTTCCGCCTTGAGCACCTGAATCCAGTGCCGCACAGACTTCTCGCTGTTCCGAAATCCCAGAAACCCGAGCTCCTTGCTCTTGTTCATGTTGCTCAAGTTCTCTACTGGAGCCCCGAACATTGTATCCAGGAACCAAAACTGCCCAACATCGTGGAACTTTGTCGGCAGCAGCTTGTGCTCGCGCACAAGAGCATCCCAGCTCCCTTCCTTCCCCCTCATCAGATGCTCCAGGCTGACGCTCTCGCCGTCGAACGGGGCAGGATCCACCCCCATCTCGTCCGCGATCACAGCCCAAAGCTGCTTATATTTGAACACATCCCCGTTGGTGATATTGAACGCCTGGTTCTTGGCAGCCGGATGCGTGGCAGCCCAGATCTCCTGCTCGGCAATCAGATCCGCATCGGATGCATCCGTCAGGCCCTCCCACGCTGCCCTGCTCCCGAAGAATCGGAATGGCAGCTTGTCGCGCTTGCAGATCGCGGCGTAGACGGCCATCGTCAGGATGCAGTTCATATAGTTCCTGGGCGCGAATCCGAAGATGGTGCTGGGGCGGTGGATCGAATACGTGAGATGCGGGTGCTGCTTCACCCTGTCGAACAGGAGATCTTCCTGGACGTAGTAGAAGATGGGGACCGGAAGCCTGGGATAGTCTTCGCGAAACGGAACCTCCGCGCGCGAGAGATCTTTCCCGAACTGTTCGAACGGCCCTACGTAGTGCTTCCCCCCCGTGGTCAGGCAGACATGGCGGAGCGCTCCTGGAAGCAGAGCGTCGAGGGTGTTGCGGAAGATCGTCCCATTCGCATCGCAGTTCTCCTCCTCCGTTTTCATGGGGATCCAGGCCGCCCAGAAGAGAGTCGTGATGCGGTTCTTGAGCGGCGACAGCTTGGTCTGCACATCCACCCCATCCAGCAGATCCAGCTGCACGTAGCTCACCTTGCTGGGCAGCCAGTCAGGGCGATCGCGGCGCCCCGTGCCGTAGACTTGCCAGGATCCCTGCTCCAGGAGCTTGCGGCAGATGCTGTTTCCATTGATGCCGGTCACGCCGACCACAATCGCCACACGCTCTTCCGCCATAGCCACGCACAAACACTGTGCCAAGTGGAGTTAAATACTGGTTTGGGGATCGAATCCCGCCGCATGCATTGGTGGTGCCGTGGGGAGATTTTTCTGGGCTCTGGAAGAATCATCTACTTGTATACATAGTCTGGTGCATTGCATCTGATCAGTTTTTTTAATCATTTTATAAAATAACTGACAATTGCTTTCTAATTGAAGTTTAACAGACAACTTGCAACCCGTTATTCTTCAACAGATAATACGTACCATTTTTGGTTCGAGTGTCATGAACGAACCTCAGCAACGGGTGCTTCTGAGAACAATTCCTCTCCCAGGCCATCTAGCGAGCACCAGGTTCTTCTTTGAGAACAAAGGCGCCTAAGAAATCATTTTTTCACTATGACTTCCTCTCCTAGCTCTTTAGAAAGCAGGTTTCGCTGTGGAGGCGCTCGAGGTCGCTTCCAAGGTTGAGAAACGATCCTTCGGAAAATGAAACGCGTCTTTCTGAATCTTTCCTGCATATCAAGAAGGATATTAGTGTCTCTCAACCCAAACAAGATCTGGCCGCTACCTCGGACACTTTTGAAAGCATAAACACCTGCAAAAGAAATAACGAAGACTCAATACTTCATTATTTCCTTATTGCCCAAAAACTTTACCAGCATTGATTGTCGGTAGCCTAAGAACAAAAAGAGAAATAAAAAGATCATGCATCTGGAATCAAAGGGTTTAGGGTTCCTGAGAGAAACACCACGTAGATGGTCTTTCACAAAGTTATATGGGGACAGAACGCAACTCCTGCGACCACAGAACTAAGGCACGATCTTTTCCGCCTTGAGCACCTGGATCCAGTGCCGCACAGACTTCTCGCTGTTTCGAAATCCCAGAAACCCGAGCTCCTTGCTCTTGTTCATGTTGCTCAAGTTCTCCACTGCACGCTCGAACATTGTATCCAGGAACCAAAACTGCCCAACATCTTGAAACTTTGTGGGCAGCAGCTTATGCTCGCGCACAAGCGCATCCCAGGCCCCATCTCTCCCCTTCATCAGACTCTCCAGGTTGAAGCTCTCGCCGTCGAACGGGACAGGATCCACCCCCATCTCGTCCGCGATCACAGCCCAGACGTGCTTCCATTTGAACACATCCCCGTTGGTGATATTGAGCGCCTGGTTCTTGGCAGCCGGATGCGTGGCAGCCCAGATCTCCTGCTCGGCAATCAGATCCGCATCGGATGCACACGTCAGGCCCTCCCATGTCGCCCTGCTCCCGAAGAATCGGAATGGCAGCTTGTCGCGCTTGCAGATCGCGGCGTAAACGACCAGCGCCAGGATGCAATTCATATAGCTCCTGGGCGCGAATCCGAAGATGGCGCTGGGCCGGTGGATCGAATATGTGAGATGCGGGTGCTGCTTCACCCTGTCGAACAGGAGATCCTCCTGGACGTAGTAGAAGTTGGGGACCGGAAGCCTGGGATAGTCTTCCCGGAACGGAGCCTCCGCGGGCATCACATCCCTCCACCGATCGAATGGCCCCAGGTAGTGCTTCGCCCCCGTGGTCAGGCAGATATGGCGGAGCACGCCTGGAAGCAGAGCGTCGAGGGTGTTGCGGAAGATCGTCCCATTCGCATCGCAGTTCTCCTCCTCCGTTTTCATGGGGATCCAGGCCGCCCAGAAGAGAGTCGTGATGCGGTTCTTGAGCGGTGACAGCTTGGTCTGCACATCCACCTGATCCAGCAGATCCAGCTGCACGTAGCTCACTTCGGTCGGCAGCCAGTCGGGGCGATCGCGGCGCCCCGTGCCGTAGACTTGCCAGGATCCCTGCTCCAGGAGCTTGCGGCAGATGCTGTTCCCATTGATGCCGGTCACGCCGATCACAATTGCCACACCCAGATGACGCTCTTCCGCCATACCTGCGATGGTCCTGAGCGTGTCAAGATAATGATCTGTTGATCAAATCCCGTAGCGGTGGGGTCAGAGAAGCTTTTGGAGATTTTTTTCTAAAATGACAAAGTAGCAAGTGCAGGTTGTGGCCTGTGACATTGAAAAAAGTACGTAGTTGGTGTGGGGTTGGTGCGTGCATTTAGAATTGTGATTGTACCCGATATCAGTTATGTTTTCACGCGACTTTGCCATTGGTCCTGAAGGTATATACGCATAGGATTCGCATGAGCTAAGAATATTCAATCTAGTATATTCGTCTACGGATTTCATACCTCCATTATTCACGAGAATGGGTGTTGATCTGTGTGAAAATCTGAAGCACAGGGAAAGAGCACCCTGGCTGCCAAATCGAGCTAATTGGATTAAGGACAGCTTTGGAATGTTTGCTTGTAAGAAAATCCTTGGTTTCTCAGAAATAGAACTTGGAATTTTAGGCTTGTGATTAGTGCAATAACATTAGTGAAAAATTAAATTTCACAAAAAATGAAATTCAAATGAAACATTTATAAATTCTCAAAAACTCATAATGTCCGTATATTAATATTAGCATAATGAAATTCTAATAGCCGTTGGATTGGTTTCAAATTAGACCACTCACTCCTGTATATAAATTAGGGTTTTTGAGTTAATTGATATGCACATTTTCTATATTCCCTTTTTATATTTCATGCACTCACAACAAAAGATTTAATTTTCATTTTAAATTTATAAGCATGTAAATCATGAACATAAAACTACAATGGTTTCATAATGTATAAATTTTCAAATTGATTTAATAAGTGATTCACAATCTGATTTCCACGTGATACCAAGATTGCCACATTAGATGCCACATAAGCAAAAATCTGGATCATTAATTGAATTGATACCTAAATTGTCGCTCAATTACAATGCTGCTTGCAGCTAGAGCTCAATTAGCAATAGCTACGGCTGGAGTTGGATGCTCATAGCTGCACCACTGCTTTGCGAGATGGAGCTGGATCATCACTCGCTTGCCGCTTGTGCCACTTGCTGCTGCTGGCTTGCTGTTTTTGACTCCCTGCTGCTAGCATGAAGAGGCCTCCGAGGGCAATTCCCTAGACATACAAAGAATGTCATCTGCACAAAATATCCATTGAGTTTCTCACAAACCAGATTAGAGATGTGTATGTTGTAAGCCTTGGAGATTGACTTGGAGATGTCTGAAACAAGGGGATAGTGCAAATTGCCTAAGCCACCCAACTTTCTCTCAGTTTGAACCCAAGCCAGATGGGAAAACTGCAAAAACATCCTTTTGTTAGTGAGAGAGCAAAAAAGAAAATCCATGTACCACACTGTCAACAGAGACTTTGAGCACTTCCGTGTTGATCTTCTCAAATTCTGAGTAACGATCACAGAAAAAGGCAATTTCTAGTAGGAGGAAAAGAAAAGTTTGAAGAAATCTTTAAACCAACGCAATTGTCATCAACCAACCTATCGGGCAAATGATCATGAAGTCCAAAGGATAGAAGAACAACATGACATAGAAGTAGTCTGAAAGCTTCACCTGCAAAGACATAGGAGAAATAAGAACACAGCAAAGAGGAACTTTTCATTTTCCTGATGAATACCTTGAAGAATTCCTGATTGAAGACTGACTCAGCCTCGAAATCCAGACCCTTCTTTCCCACCAATGGAACATCTAAGCTCTAGAAAAGAAGAAAATCCACAATGGTGTCAAAATTTCCATGGAAAAGTGGATGAAGAATGCCAGAAAGCATCTGTAAGAAAAAAACTCAATCATATATTTAAAGCCATGTTAGAATACCTCCATTGTACTACTATGATCCATGAACAAGTGAGTGCCATTGGCATCCATTAGATTCTCCTAGCATAGTAGCAATCAATAAAAAAACAGGGACAACCCCAAGATATTTGGACACAGTCAGGACAGTGCCATAGCCAGAACAGTGGATCTCTGGCATTTTGATCGGGGCTCCAATACCTAGCGAGCATGCAGCGGTAGCTAAAGACTTGGAATCGGCCATACAAATGGATCTGTGTTGCAACAGTGCCATGGCTAGGCATAGGATTGGATTGGATGGAAGCTATTGGATTCCAATACTTGGATGCTGTCTCACTCCTAATGCCTTGCTTCCAGCACGTAGGAATGTCTAATTCGAGCATTGTGGCCAGAAACCCTAGCCAAAATCCCTAAAGAACATGTATGTATGAGAAAGTTTAATTAATATTTCACAATGAATGAACTCCAAGATTTCTCTAGTGTGAGAAAGGAAAGATCTGGCTCCTCTAACCCATGGCACCCATCTCCTCTCTTGAGATTTCAAAATTGCCTACCCTAAAAAGAAGACCACAACCGCTGCTCTCACACTTTCAAGCTTTGGCCTTGTTTATGCTCTTGGGATAGTGTATGGAAATCCAATTTTGTTGTAATATAGTTTTGTTACTGAAGTGATTAAAAAATGAACAGGTGCCATGTGCATTCAATTGCATAGGTGTATAGTCCACATGTCATACTCTAATTGGACAACCATTTTATGGCTATTATATGTACATGGTTCCATTCATCTAAAAGGAAGAAAGGGAGATCAATTTTTTTAAAACAACATTTTTAAACATTAATATCAATTATAATTATTTGCTGCATTGCTTGGATTTCTTTAATTTTCTATTTCTTTTTATGTAAATGAATACATTTATACTAGAAAGTACCTAAAAAGAGTAAATGAGTTTTGATTTAAGGAGCTAGTTTTTGTTGAGATGAAGACTCTCTCTATATTAAACACAAAGATTAGCATTCACTAGGCAATCTTCTAGGATGGATCTTTTACATTCTAAGATAATAGGGTGAAGTTGAATCCATTCTTGGTTTACTTCTCTAAAAGTTACCACTTTCTTAATGAATTTTTATAGTAAGTTCTAGATTCAACACTAAGCTACTCAAGAGTAATAATAAGATTCCCTAGAAAAGAATTGAGTATTATAACCTAAGTTTTCCATTAACAAACTTAAGTAAAATAGTTTAGTGCTTCATTACTATCCATCCTACAATTCACCACTTGCAAATTGTTATAATCAACATGCATCAAAGTAAGGATTCTTGATTGCATGATGTAATCACAAACAATGAAATCACACTTCATTGTAAATCATCTTTCAAAAAAGAAAAAATAATTTATATATTTAATCCTTCATCTCTGATGATTCTCTTTCTGAATAGTAGGTGGTTTCAAGTCTTGTGGAGTACCTGGGAAGCAAATGGCCCAAGAGCAGCACTAAGTGTTCATACTTGTAATTTTGCTAATTTCTATTTATGAGAGTATGCTCTTGATGTTGTTTTAGTCCATATACAACATTATGGAATGTATATATATGTTTCATTAAATCTTATCTTATGATCATGTATGATACACATATTATGACTATTTTAAATGTTAAGAACTTTAGCATTTAAAAGTAAAAGACACATGTAAAAACACTCCTTTGACATTAATACCATATCTTGCTTTTTGTATTCTATATATACAATTCTGATATATTTTTATCTTTGTAAATTCATCCCTTTTATTTAGTTTCAACCACTCAGCTAATTTTGTAACTCGTCCTCTTTTCACAACAATTTTCTCTTCACCCTTGTTCAAGTAAATACTTTCTAAATTTAGTAAATGAACATCTAGCCTTTCAAATATATGGGAATGTATATCATAACCAAATATCCTTTATATTCCCTCTATTGCAAATAAATAAAATCAATTTCTTAATTTCATCTCAATCAAATCTTCCTTTAGTTTTACTATTTCAATCCCCACTTCCAAGTTGTATCTTAGGACAATCATGTGTATATATATATGTGTGTGTATGTGTGTATGAGGTCCATATATGGTTATGATGCTATATAGCTTTTTCAATTTCTTCTTTTTTTCTTTTACTTTTTTGTTCATTTTCATAACAGAGTAGCAATAAGCTCCTCCTCCTTTGACTCTAGAGTAGTAATTGGTGCAATTGTTCGATGTTATGCGGTTGTAGTTGAACAATCTAATTTAATTCATGGTAGCATTCACAACGTATGGTACAACTCTTCCTGTTCTTGTTGCCAATCCTTATGTTTGGCCAAAGTTTTTCCATAAGAATTTTAGGGATAATGTGTATTATTGGTTCAATCACTTAACGGTGATTGCCATATATCATTCTTGAGATGATGCTTGGCATTTGTGTGAGTTTCCTATGTGTTTAAAAGGGATGACATTATAATGATACAATGGTTTGTGCGCAACCATTCGTGCAAATTGGAGCATTCTCCCAGACATTTTCAAATGCACATTTGAATATACCAACAATTGTGATAATACTTTTTAACAATTGCATTGTCTTTATTAAGGGCTATTTGAATCAGTGATGTAATTTGCCAGTTTTTTCTAAAGCCTTTTGCTTCGTGTAGAACCAAATATATTGGAACAAATCAAGTTGGGCATATTATGGCTAGCACTTTGTTAAGATTTTGTAGGATTTGTACATGCACTTACTCCAACCACCTTTAAAGATACTTTTCATTTGGCACAATATTTTGAGACATCATCTCTTCCACTTTTCATTATACATTTTTCAACTCCACTTCTTATAGGTGATAGTTCTATTCCAATTGAGGTTGATATTGTTGTTGCCCTAGTTCAAAGACAAGGGCAAAAATATGGTCATAGTCATGATATTTATAGTTGAGTATGTGATAAAGTTAGTTACACTTATCAGCATTGTTAACATTTTCCAAATTTCATTTCTTGAGTGGAGACCTTAACAATGTCCTGTTAGTGCTATTGCAGTGGAAAGTTTAGACACTGAGATGCTTCTGGAAAATGGTGAATCAAGCTCTATTTCGTTAAAGTGGGAATTGTCATTATCCCACTTGTAAAATAAGGTTTCCAAACCTTTATATAGTATATAAATATAACAAAATTCAACTGCATTGAGGCACATGCCATTTTATTTTAAACAAGGAAATGTTTACTCAATCACTTCTCCTCCCCCTGCCACTGCTTCACCTCTCTCTTCTCCTTGTCATCATCGTCCAATTTCTTTCCATCCTTTTAGTATTGGCTCAGTTGCTCTGAGTCTAGGTGGAGCCCAAGTCCCCATTCAATCTTTACTTTCCCCTTATTAATAAAACAACTTCGTAGACTTCCAATAACATGCTGTAACACTTCTAGTATAATGCAAATCCTCTCAAAGAATTGTCTTTTAATATTAATACAATGGCATGGAACCCCATGCCATAATAAGTTACATTTTTAAATAAATACATGCCATCTCAGACTGTTATTTTTTGCCTCCAACGCCTATACAATAATCTTGGAATTTCATCACTCTCCACACTATCAGGATTTAAACCCAATAGTAATGCCATCTCTTCTCTAATACGTCCACGCTCATGTTCAGTGGTCGAAGAACCCATCCGGTTGAGCAGATTATGGAGATGCGGATAGTGCTTGGCTAGACAATATACATGCCATAAATGATGACTGGTGTCTGTCCGATCAAATGGCTTCTGATATACCGTTCCATCTGCCATTTGGTTGATTTCTGTAGCCACCTCCTGGACTGGCCGGTTCTCTATCACCATCGCTCCAAGCCGTTTTGCAAGGTCCCCCAGAACATACGGTTTCTTCTTCCTAGTTTCCATATTGCAAGAGATGGGGTGCACTGCATATGTGTGCGCGTTCGCTGCAGTTTTAATCGGCGAGTCATCGATGATGAGGATTTCACTTGAGCTAGTAGTCCGGTTCATCACTACAGCCTCTGGCTTGACGAAGATGGGCTTGCTACCCCTCACATGGACCATAGTCAAGCAATCCTCCTGCATTAGGAAAAAGTCAAATGGTAATATTACTCGCGTCTGATCGTGCATCATCTGTAGCAACGTTAATGCATTGTGGCGCATCATGGATGTCCAAACTCCCAATTGCAAATTGAACCCGGCCCTCTGTTTTAAGTGTCGCATGGTCATTATTAGATCCCGCAGTTTCTCCCGTGTGATTAATGTGAATCTGTCTCTTTTGACCAACTTGCGACCGCAGGCTTTGGAGGGTGCAATGACATTCGAGGACGAGCCACGCTCATGGGAGAAAAGGACACCGTTCAGATCAAAAATGACACAGTACCTTCGCCGTGACTCTGAAATGAAATGCGTCAGCATAAAAAATGGTACAAGTCAATTTTACCATCTACAATATTAGCGAATGGTGCTCCCGATGGTCGTTGAGAGGGTTTTGGTCGAGGAAACGTGAAGGGCGGAAATACTCTCCTCTGCAATGTGGGGCCAATCGCATCCGATGGCATGTGGGCACATGCCATTTCAGCTGTAGACTCTGGTACAACTGGCTCAACAGTGGCATGGGGTGGTTCCGATGGCGTGTGATCACACGCCATTTCAGCTGGTGCCTCCGTTGGCAAAGTGGACATGACCGAACAGGCAGCAGGGGCGGTGTAGGGAGGTTCCAACGGCGCGTAGTCAGACGATTGGGCACACGTTAAGTCCGTTGGAAATGAGGATACGACCGGCTCGGCAGCTGGGGCGGCTTCATGCGGGTCCAATGGCGCCTGGTCACCGTCAGTTGGATACGTGGACAAGATTGACTCAGTGGTATGGGCAGCATCAAGTGGAGCGTGGTCAGCTTGCTTGGCGTTGATATGGATAGTAGCCTCCACCAGCTCTGATGACTCTTGCAGGCAAGTAGAGTCCACTGGCGGATCCATATGCATGTCCAAATATCTCCCTTCGATTGAGATGGTATCCTCCCGTGCTACTAAAAACAAACTCATTAGCACATTGAATCGACTATACTGTATTTACCATCAACTGCTATTGAGGAACTAGGACCGATATCACTTGGGCGCACTGCTGATTCTGAAGGATTGGACATACGTTTCGACCCTTGCTTGGCACTATCCTTCCTCGACACTAAAGGCTAGAGTTTGTATCTTAATTCAACTGAATAATCTCTACTTACCATTTGCTCTACGACCTACATGGACAATGTTAGAAATGGTAAAAGGTTAGGAATGGATGTACTATTATTTACCTGATGGTTTGTCTTGTATGACCTTCCTCCGCTGCTCTTTGGCCACCTCAGGCTAGCCATCGTCGTAATCAT